AGCCAATACAAGAAGTTTTGAAGTAGAGATTCTGAGGAAGCATGAAGGAAGTGGGTTCGGAAAATAGCAATTAAGCATTAAAAAACGGAGTTGATTATTTGGTTAGGAATTGGGAAATGTTAAGTTAATACAGGAAGCTTTGAGGAAGTCCAGGGAATCCGATTTGAAGGAGCAAGAATAAAGTATGTGTCACGAAGGAATTCTGGAGAAAAATAAGATGAAATTCTGCGGAAATGCAAGCAAATTCTGAGGAAATGAAAAGCAAACTGGGAAATACAACGTCAGTTTTAAGTGCTGTTACTCGCATAGCAATTAGGAGAAGTTAATACAAGAAACTGAAAATTAAAGAAAATTCTGTAAAAATATGAAGACAGTTTGGGAATAGAGAAATTCGTGACAAAACGCTGATGAAATATGAGAAGATTCTAATGAACTTCAAAGAAATGCTAGGGGAAGTTTTGGGAATTGGAAGTCAAGTTTTAAGGAAATGCTATGCAGAAATTAGATTGGACGGCTTGGAATTAATCGAGATAATCAAAATTAAACGTCCCATTAGGACAACAAGACTAGGATAACTATATTTAGTATTTTGTAAAAAAATAAAATTTCATGACTCTCATTTCAAATAATGTTTACTAGTGTCTAGTAAGACAACAAATTTTAAAATTTATAATTTTGAGCAACGTTAAGAAAAGTTCAGAGAAATTTCAAAGTCCTAGGTCCTTTTTGACTTTTTTGTTTGTATTTTTTACCTGGATTTTTTTAGGAAATCCAAACAAATGTTACTAAAAAAACTGTTTAAAAAACATTGTAATTACCGGGCAGCAAAGCCGATAACCTTGCCGATAACTCTTCGATATATAATTTAAAATATTTATAATTTCTGTACCTAGGTAAATTGAGGACTTCAATATCAACTTGCTCTGAATTAAAACACATCCTGAACAACTTTTCTTAATAACATTTGCGAGTATCTCGTCCCCAAAGATCACTTTACTGGGGTGCAACAAAGGTTTTTTGAAAATTTCAAAGGCACCCTTGATTTGTATAAACTAAAATTATGTCACACATTAGTTTCCAAGCGAGGAGGGCGGATCCCCAGAAGTTCGGAGGACACACTGTATATCAAGTTCGAGTTCTTAAAAAGTTTGCAAAACAGGTTTCTATCAAAATTCCTACATTACAAGCGACACTTTCGAGAAAATCCTTTGCAAGAGAATATTTATAAGCCAACTTTAAATAATATTTCAAAATGAAATTTGTAAGGTACTAAAGAACATTTCGATGAGGGTATGATATTTTCCAGGAAGATTTATAGGAAGAGAGTTAAAAATGATTGCCAAGGATTTTGGGTGCGAGATTTCAAAAAATTATCCTATGGGGATCCCAAGGAATTCGTAAGATGCTTTTTACGTTAGTCCAAGATATACCACACTTACAAAGAATAGGGTCTTCCTGAAAAAAAATATTGTAACTTTTTTGTGTCTTACTGTAAAGTTTATAACCTGTAATTAAACATCTCATATACAAAACTTTTTTTCCTAATTGCTAATCAATAAACAACATATAATATCGTAAAACTTTCAAATTTTGTCATGCAACCGACGACATGCCGATATTGGCCGAGCGTCGCTTACGTCACTACGCGGGTTGCCGATCGGGAGTTATATTAGTGCATGACACTGATAGGAGTTCGATTCGACTTATTATGGCAATCTGCCATAAACCGAGTTCTGACTGGTTCGTAAAGGGGCAGTTAGATAGTCTGCCAAAGGTTGAAGTGTTAATGGTCGCCGCCTTTTTCTCGAAAAGTGAGTTTTTTCATGCCACTCGTTTGAGTGGAGTCAAAGCCCAGAAGCAAATCTGTTATGGTTCATAGGAAGTATAACATCAAGTTATGTGTGTATAGTGCAAGGTATAGTGTAGGTACCTAATACAGTATGCACCTTACGGATTTCAACGAGAAAATTAGGGTGTTGGATATGTGGAAGTGAAAATAGAAAAAAAATGTGTGCACTGTAAGGGCACAGATATGCCCAGAACAGAGTTCGAAGTAAATCATATTTTGAATTGCAATTACAATATTACATATCGATGGATTTTCGTCGATAACTGACTGAAAGTAAATCGACATTATGCACTTTAATTAATTAGAATCGTCTTCACAACAATACAAATGGGATGTCAAATTCGCGGTATCACGTCGAACTTTTTTTCGTATATTTCCTGTTGGGACGTTTATATACAATTTATTAGGTTCGCGATGACTTCTGATATCACACCCAGGCACAAATGCAATAATTATTCGACGCCTTTTTCCGTCAAAACGACGTTTTCTTTCTCTGAAGCGATTGTAAGCAATGCTACGGCTGAGCGCCAACGTGCGTTGTCACGTCACAGCAACGTTGGCGGTCATTCGAAACTTTTCAAACATTTTAGAATCGTGTTTGCTAATCACAACGATTTCTCTTGACTTGAGTACCACTAATTTTTTTAATGTGCTTGGAGTTCATTTTCAAGGTTTTTGAAAAAACGCGGAAAACCCCATTGTCGCTATGTTTACTAAAACTTGTTTGTGGTAAAAAATGATCAAAAATCTCTTTTGGTCAATGTATAGCAAAATATGTTTGATGGGCCATCACAATATACCCTGCAATATACAGAGTGTCCCAGGAGGAAGAGCCAATATTTTGAAAAATTAAAGTAGATGTTAATGGAAGACAATAACGCTAATAAACTGTATGTTTATATTCTCGACCGTTTCAAAGATATAACCAACAATTGTCATTATATTTTAACTACCTAATTTTAATAAAGCGGCTATAAATCAATTGTCTCTTATATTGGGGTAACTATTGAGTAGAAATAAACAGTGCATCATTGTATACGTCAATTGTCGTATAAATAATATAATTATAAAATATAAAATTACGCAACATTTAAGAACAAGTGTGGTCATCATTAACGTACAAGGAATTTTGAGCTTTTGGTGCAGTCACATTGATTCAAAATAAGTCAGTTTTTACCCCAAGCTGACTATAGTTAGCAAAAACAGTTGATTTATAGGGGCATTATTAAAATAACTAGGTAGTAAAAATAAAATGACAATTGTCATTGTCAGGAAATGATATGTTACGGTGTTCATATAAAATAATCGTCTTTAAAATACTTATTCTTTATATTTTAATGTGTGCATAATTAATAAAATGTTGTACTTTACCACTCTGCGGGTCATGTATGAAATTATGATATAGGTCGTCTTTTGGAACATTATACTTGAAAAAATGTGCGTTCGGTTTGGTATTTTAAAATGGCTGCACAGTCAGTGGTTCTCCTAAATTCATGTCTATTCTGAAGAATGCTCCTTAATTAACAAACATATCTTGAATTGAAAGCATTCTTCCTATAATTTGTGAACCCGCTGTACCCTCTAAAACTGTCAAAATACGGTATGTTTTTATTAAGATATTTGAAAAATTTGCTGTGCGACAACAAAAAAAATAGAGCAACGATTTAATATTTAGAAAACATGAAATCCAGCCTGCCGTTTGCTGTCAGGACAAACACCGCGCATCCTAACAGCACACGGTCGGCTGGATTTCCCAAGTGTTCTAAATATTAAATCATGAATTTCTCAATTTTTTTTTATATCAACCATATGCATATTTTATGATGTACAGCAAATTGGTTGCTATTTTCAATTATCTTAAAAAACATAGGCATTGCATTTTGAAAACAAAAGTTGCATGAGTTTTCGGTTAAACCGAAAGTGGTATCGGAAGTTTTAATATGTGATCGGATAGATCGTAGTGTCATATATAAAATTACATTTGACGAATTTCTTCGTGTCAAATAACAGATATATTAAGGTGGCCCTCTTATTTCGAACGCACTGTATATAATAATATATCTGAGAATTTCATTGGGCCAGGGTACAAAACTGCAAGGATCGCAATCTTAGAATCTTTTCTTAAGTTACCAACCAAGTTTCTTCTTAATCTCTCTTCCTCCTTAAGTTCGTATCCTGTTCCTTCCAATGTCCTACCAAGTTTCGGTAAAGTTCCTCCAGTTCCCTTCCAATGCTTCCTATAACTTCCCCTCAAATATTCTCTCTAAGTAAGTTCCTTTCAAATCCTTTCTCAAGTTCTCCTAAATTCCCACTCCCAATCAGATGTTCTGAATTTCCCTTCTCCTTCCTCTTAAGCTTCGCTAAAGTTTTTCTTCGGATTTCCCAGAATTCCCATGAAATAATAATTAAAATAACAATTAAAATTCATTGTTCCTCTCAACTTTCTAATTAAACTTTCCTTGAGAATGACTTTGCTTGTTTTTGTAGAATTAAAAGGAAAATAGTCACTATAGGTTAAGGTATAAATAATTTCATCTAAATCTCATTCTGAGCACCGCATTAAACAATAAACCAATGAAGCGTTTTTAACTATCTTGTTCTTTCTAGAAAAATGACGTCTCTAGAAACAATTTTTAATCGATGGCTGAAATGCGTTGATCAATATTTTTGCACAAAGGAAATCCATGAAAATCCATACTGTTCTGAATGGTGACCTCTTTTAGCACAATTCCAAATCATAAGTCAATTTGTACCTAGTAGTCCAGTTCTAACGATTTATACCTTAGCTTAGATCATATCAGTTTATACAGTAATATGCATATTTGTTGTCCATAATCCTTTTCCATAACGGCATTCGATCAGTTTTGAAAAATCCGAGACAAAATATAAACTTTTTATCGCGCCCTTTTTTGTAACTTTGTTAAAACCTGGAAGCCCGACATTCATTTTTAATTGCGCGCAGTAATTGTAATAACCACTCTTACCTTTAGAACAATGATTATCACATAGCGCATGGCAAAAATTTTATGTTTAAAAGGTAAAACCGAACGCACTTTGAAAACATCACGCTGGCTCTTTAGGCGTGCGTGAGCTTTAAACGAGAGAACTGAAAGCGCGCAGTCTTTCTACAACGTTGGGGTAACGCGTTTCACGAAACATTCCAAGAGAAAATCACGCTCACAGAAACTATCATAACGAAATTTTAAGAAAGAGCCCCCCAACAATTATTACCAAAACCATTACCTGAATATTATTTATGTAGTCAACAATTGTGATCATACGTTAAGTTTTTCGCTATAGTTTTTGTAAATCGTAATATGTGATATTAACTTTTTTTTTCGTCAAAGGGTTATCGTGCAATTCTCGAAAGAGGCCTCGTAATTATTGTCACTAATGAAAAAGGTAAGTTGGTGTTTGATGTAAATTAGTAATTTGTGGCCGAAGTTTCAATTTTTCTCTCTACTGTTGTGTGAAAAAGTCATGTGTGGTGTGCGCTTATCCATACTCATAAACATTTATTATTTATATGACATTGTATGGTGTGGTTTTTACTTGGAAAATATCATTAGCATCGACAGGCACATGTCAATAAGAAGGCATTAAAAGTTTTTCCATGCCGCAACTTTCTACTTAATAAATTATTGAAAACAGAACTACTAATTTTTCTTTTTCTATGTGAAATAGTTCGCGTTTCCTAATTCGTAACAATATTCTTACCATTATCAAAATAAAAATCAATAAGTAACGCTTAAAAAAAAGATTATCTGAAAATGATATAACGGAAGTATAATTTGATAGCTATCATATACAGTGGGTGCGCAGGTGTATGTAATCCCGCCAGGTGTTCACCCCTTACCGCTAAACCCACAATCTACGACCTCTGTGCTATACCACCCTATTGGACTAGAAAGACCTGTAGTGTACCTTTGAACTAAATTGCCCAAAGAGCTTTACATTTGTAATATCTTCATTTGTCTTTGATGGATTACGAACTGCGGTTCTTATGCTTTTTTGAATTTGTGTTACACGCAAAAAGGATCATATATCAAAAGATTTTTCTACCTTTACATATGACGAAAATTTATGCCTCATAGAAACTGTTGACATTTTTGTTTAAATGTTCGATATCTCCCCTATATTCATTCATGCATTGTTGACATTTGAATGGAAATAAGTTTTACATTTTTCAGGATGAAAATTTCGGTTCACCTGTCGATATTTATTATACGAATTCTTTGCAGTTTCAGTAAGTGAAGTAATTAATTACGTTCCCCTATTTTATTCGAAATTTCGTCATGGTACAGCGGTTTTTATGTAAAATACTTTTAACTAAATTTGACAAATTGTTATCGCTTATTGCAACCTCTTATGATCGTTATGGTCGTAGTTACTCCATTGTCCATAAGATTTTTTAATACGTAGAAAGTTCCTTGTGATTGATTTTATAACATTTTCCATTGCATGTTTTCCAGGGACGGAATTAGTTCATGTGTTAACCAAATTATCGAATCATGTGTGTCTCCAGGTTCTAGCGGGCTTCTGGGTCAGCGAATAAACTTTTGACTCACTATAGACCGAGAGATAACAACAGATTTTGTGCGATGGTTACTAAACGTCTTTCACCGCAATTTTCTCTTTACGTAGGTTAGAACTAGCGTATAAACTTAATACGTTTGTTCAGCTGTCTAATGAATTATTATCTAAGTTTCCAAATTTTTGAAAGTAAAACCAAAAGTTTATTAATAAACGTGTGCCATTAATTGCACATTGTATTAATAGCACATGGACAGACGTTTTTCATTGTCTAGTCGCTTGGTACCATATATTATCTCATGTTTCAAAAATTGCTAAAAAATTTTAATTGGCAGAGTCTGTCAATATGAATTATCAAATGTATTAATGAAATGTATGAATGACAGACGTTTCTTAATAAACTTTTGTTATTGTGTTATCAAAAATTAAAAAAAATAGGTTGGACTACTCAACAAACCTATGAGATAGTTGCGTTGATACACGTCTAGGTACCTACTAATCATCGCACAAGTTGTTATCTCTCGGTCTACTAGACTCGACTTGCGTCACGTGCGTTGACTCGTGACCCAATCTTCATATCGAAATGAAAGTCTAGATGAAGCGGAGTACACTTTAAATACTACGAAATGAAAAGTCTATGCGTTTTGATGAGCTCTAAAGAAGTCTTGCACAAATTAAGTGGTACACACTTGTAACTAATGATAAAAAGAAATGTAATTTAATATGGCAAAAGGCAACATGACAGTTTTCAATATCTGTTATTGATTTTCTATGACTCTCATATCAGCACTGTAACATCCAAAATCAGTAAGGGCTGCTTATTGGATTTTTCACTTCACTTACTCCCATGATGCTAAGAAGGCTCCCGAAGCGCAGTCTAGTGAGAGGTTTGGTGAGCAGATCATCAGCTGAACGCAACTCTAATTGGATATCAATATGCCTTGTCGCCTGTGGGAAACAGGATTCTTCATTATATTAATTTCGCTTTCATTATCCACTTTCAACACAGGAGTTTGCAGTCCATTTCATAGAGAATCCTTGTAATCCAGATAGCTTCCTCTACAGCGAAACTTGCCGCAACAGTCACTCATTGTGTTGTAGACCGTAGACGTAGATACGCATTTTTGCAATTTACCTGACCAAGCTATGGGATCACCAGGGTTCTTGAACAATATTCCAGTCACTGATTTCCTTGTTTCTCGGCCCCAGCATCACATAATGCTTCGAGATCCCGATGATTGTACAAAATTCGATAGTTCTGGGTCCCTTTTATATATGTACTTCAATCGTCGTTTCACCATTGCCCATTCCTTTACGCTAGAAAAAACCATCTTTCTTGAAAGAAATCCGACACAATCCCCAATGCCGACAATGCCCAACGAGATAACCTCGACGAGCTTTCTTTTCAAACTTCCCCCTCTTCTACTTTCGTACGTGTATAAAGCATTTAGTACCGAGTACTTTATCGAGCTTCTTCTTATACCAAAGTTCGTATGATGAAATCCCTGGTTCTGGAGACGGTACTGTTCGGTTATTCACCCACGCAGCTGTCATCCCACGGCTTCTGTTTATCATCAGATCAAATTCGTAAAATGCAATCACCCATTTCCTCCACGTTCCATTCTCATTCCAGCTCTTCATTCGCTAAACCGAATTCCTATATACTGGTTCCATTTTTTGCAATATCCTTATCTTCATACAAAACTGAACCGTCATCATCTTTTAAGCCATTGCATTTGTCCTACTTTTTCCAAAAAACTGCTTAATTGTTTTGAATGCCGTATCGAATTTTCCCTTTCATAACACTTCCAAAAGGAGCGCCATGAAAAACAGTTTAGGAACCACTGCGCTATATCCTCTATTCCTGTGTGTAGGCCACTCTTACATCCGCATTTTTTAACTTCCCTAAATCCTATTTGTGACTAGTTTTCTTTTTCAGTGTTTTGAATTTGAGATCACATATACCTAGCACTAAATTATGGTCAGTGTCGATATCTGGCCCTGTAAAAGCTCTACAGTCTTGTATTTGGTTTCTAAATCTTTGCTTGATTAGAATATAGTCGATCTGGTACTTTCGGCTATCGCCTGGATCTACTGGCAATGTGAAAACTTCATTGTGAATATCTCAAAAATATTGGAAAAAAGTAGGCCACAAAGAGAAAATGCAATATTTAGGAGAAGTTTTCTAAGGGCTTGATTTTCTTGCATTATATAGCGTAAATTTTGCCAGTTGGCCTTTAAATGTTTATGTGTAAAAGATCCTCCCGATATTAATCATCTACCAAGAAAGTAAAATCGAAATATACTCGCATATAGTATGCTACTACCTTATAACCTTATTTACTAAACTATTTCGGTTTAAAAAATGCGCTTTATCTGCACAGGAGTTGTGCACAATTTATACTTCTTTATAAAGTTAACCATCATTTTGTCTTCTGGTGGAAGCTTATGCACAGGTTTCGTAAGACGTAATAAAAAATCAAATCGCCAGATCAATGTTCTAGAAATTCATTCCTTAAACTTAATTAATTACGATCTAGCATATAGAAAAACCAAACAATCCTCGACGGTCAAATTTCAAATGGAAAAAGGAAGAAAATGGCATATTGTCTATTCCCACCATAAAGCGTAAAATTCACCACCCTCTTCTTACGTGCCATTGGGAGAATTGGCCATTCCTGCAATGTTGAAATGCTAATAGATGGAACAAAAGAATAAGTGAAATATGACCGCATTAGACGCACGAATGGGGTCAGCAGACAATTTCATGCACGTAGTATGCTGAAGGAATTTACGTGTCAAGAATGACATTAATGTAGACAATTTTAAGCACCGAGGCTATAGATAATGGAATAATTGTAGGTAGTTTTTCCTGGTTTCTTTTATTCCATTCACGACGTATAGCCTAAACCGAAACCGAAAATACTAGAAACTAAAGGCAACTAAAAGGGGTAAAGTTCAGACACAGGCGAGAATCCACTCCACTTGGCCCCCTCATTGATAAATAAATAATTTGTCAGTTTCCTTGTATTCTGACGTTTTTTCGATTGTTTCCTTTTCTTCAGATTCGTCCCTTTGATTATTGCGATCAGTTTATTTAGATACTTGGGACGCTTCTTGGAAAGATTCGATAATTTGAATTTTACTGACCCTCTCAGATCCTCTATTTGAATTCTTTCGTTTCTTGGGACCCGTTTAAAATCTTGAATTTCTCCCTCTCATATTTAAGGTTGAAATTCTTCATTTTTTTTCAATTCTTTAAATTCCACAGGTTGTTCGAATTTTCGTAATTTCTTCGCATGAATTTGATTCTTTAGTTTTCCCTCATTTTTTAGATATAAGATTCGATACTTTCTTTAAGTTCTTCGAACCCTTCGAATGCTTCCGATTCTTCTGATCAGTTTCATCTTCATTATATTCTTTGGATTCTTCAGTTGTTTAGATTTCTCAAATTCGTTCTGTTGTTCACATTCTTTAAAATCAGTTTTAGATTCTTAGAATTTTTCATTTTTTAGTTTTTTAGAGCCCACATATTCTTGTGATTTTTACATTCCTTTAGATGTTTCAGGTTCTTCCAATTCTTCAGTTGTATTACCATTTTTCAGTTCGATCGGACCTTTTTTTAATGCTTTCATACTGCCAATACACTCCGTAAAATGCACCAATGTACGCACTAGTTGTCAGAATGTAGGTACATATTCAAATTTGTAAGTAGACCTAACAAGATTTTTAGATCCCTCTGATGCTTCTAATATATAAAAATCTCGGTTTTGTGATCGCACCCCGTGAAAATATATTCATTTCTTGAATTGATTTTACATGCTCCCTATGGCGCTCTTCATCTGCATATAAAGGTGTACCTCCTCTTC